TGGTTGTGTGGGTCAACCCTGCAATAGACAGGCAACCTGTCGAGGGTACACTCCATCTCTACCCCATGACCTCTAGGAAAGCCTCAACTCTGTCTCACCACTATGAATCATATAAGTGGAAGAAAACTGAAGGCTGATCTGTTAAAGGTCAGTGCACTGACATACCTTACTAACCCACTAAACTTGCTTTGTAGTACTCCTCTAAGGACATAACAATGAAAACAATACTGGCATGACTGTGTATGTGACAATAAAATTTGAATTTTGGCAGCTGCCAGTGCTACCCCTCAGCTTCCTAGTAGATGCACTTATGAATCAAACTCCCAGTGACCTCTGACCTTGAGGTCACTGAAATTCAAACATAGTAGATGCACCTATGGTATGAATGGCACATTATCAAGTTATCACTTTCACAAACCCGTGTGTGCGCATGCCACACACACAGGTTTGTCTGCAAGGTCCCCATGGTCCTTTTATGGCTGAGGGGTAAAAACAGAGTGTGCAAAGTGCTTTGACTGACAGGCAAAAGGAGAACACTCAACACTCAACTCAATGCAACTTGTTAAGTCAAACTGTCCCAACACCACTAAATGAAGCCCTCCTTTGAAATGAATGTATGACATTGTCACTGCATTTGCATGCAGCTGGTGATGCAGAAAATGTCTACATGTTTGTTTGTTTTTTACATTCTGTTCTACCTGTTTTACACTGCTGGAACTTCAGTTACTAGAACACAGACCAGAAAACTGGTTATGGTTACATTATTAGGCCGTTTATCAAACAGAATATCTATTCAATCAATAAAATTGATTTCACTTTAATCTGGTGGCAAACTAAACTGATTTCCATGTCTAATTTATTAGGTTGTGAGACAGAGTCAGAGTCAAACACACAGAGTAACCTCTAATCCTTTAATAGATGCATTTTAAAGGTTTCAAGCTCTAATGTGTGGCTGCTTGGTCGGAAATAAAAAACAGCAAAGATATTAACATGTTTACTTTACTCCTAAGTATGCTAATAATGATCATGAACTCAGTAGATCTGGGGATTTTCTACAGCATTGCATTTTCTTGTACTCCTGTAAGCGGCAGTGTTGCATTTTACTGTGATATTTTCATGTTTTTTTACAGAGTAAAATGTCTCTGATTGGAACGAGTGGTGCTAAAACGAACCATTTTTGTGCAGAAGAGTCAAACGATGTGGGCAAACGCCGCCCCTTTTACGTGAGCGTGCAAGCAGAAAGCTTAAGTTTATCTCTGACTGGGGTTTAAGGTATTGTTAAGCCAGCAGACACAAAGAAAACCTGGCTGTGTAGAACTAATATACACCTTAGGATGCATAAGTGTATGTGTTTATTAAGGCTGACATGCCTGCATAGCATGAATGCAGTGCTTGTATTATAATCCCTATTCTGAACTTTTTAGATCTTGTCTCTGACATTCATCACCTGTGTTATATTAACAAAAATTTACAATGAAAACTAAAAAAAAACAAAAACAAATAAAAACCAAGCAAACTAGCACTATGTGGAAACTATGTAAAACGAAGCAACATAGAAAAAAATAAACGAACCCACTGAAGCCTATAGGAGGTTTCGGCAGTCTAAGACAAAAATATCTAACTTTTGTGTGGCCATCAGTAATTTGAGTCAGACTTAAAATAATTGTAAACCTGCTGTTTCGATCTCTAAAAACACTACTAACAGTTACATGCGAGACACAGCTTCCCTTTATCAGCTTTTTGGTTTGTTTTTTTAAAGTAGCTGTGTGTGTTCTTGTGGCGTACTATTAGAATGAAGCACATAAAACAAAAAAAAAAAAAAGCTGTGCTTACCTTGACTGCATTTCCACGAATGAATTTCTTGATAGTGGAGAACAGGCCTGTCTCATTCTTCTGCATTTTGCCTCGACCTCTCACCGGCGATGGCTCCACTTCACAGTGTTTCCTTTTGGCCTGGGACGGGTGGGTTTGATGGCCTACGCTCGGCTGCTGAGGAGCTTTACGCACTCTCAGCTTCATCATGTACCAACGTCACATAGAAAAATCTGACAAGGAAGGAAAACATGGAGTTAAGTCGACTGAGCGTTTTTGACACTGCACTTCAAACACAAAGGGTACACACTCAATCCTTTGTGTTATATTATCAGATTTTCTCTGAACATGTTGCATTTTTTAAATGTAAATAAAATGTTCACAGAAACAGTTTTTCCACTGTTGAGTGTAAGGGAGTGGATAATAAAAAAATCAGAATAATAAAAAATTCTAAAAAAAAGTGTGCATTTCAATACCTCCTGCAAGAGGTCTACTACTACAAAACATCAAGTTCCACAGATAACAGTAAACAATCCATCCATAAATGGTAAAAAAAAAAAAAAAAGTGTGCTTTACCGCTCTGACAGGAATCGTGCATTTCCCCATTACTTATGACCAAAAATGCAAGTTACAGTCAAGTACATGAACCCCTCCACCCCCCAAGAAAAACCCCTCAAAAAACCTAGACTGTGATAAAAACATAAAAATTATCACTATTTTAATTGTTTTTTTTAATTTGTACTTTGTTTTTTGTTTTTTTAAGTGTTTTAATTTACTTGAGTATCAAAAGGGCTTTTGTTTACCAAAAGGTCAGAAACAGCAGGAAATTGCACAAGTTCCTCTCCAACCATGTGCCTAAAAATCCTGATAGGTTTTCAGATCTGCTGGGCAGCCAATATCATACAAGACAAGACTTTTTACATAAACACAAAGCAAACATTTGTTATCCTGACAAGGACTTGTGCTGAGCAGGATATAGCAACTCCTCTCTTCGGCAGACAAACTGTGTCAGGATTTTTCCTGGC